TATATATATATATAAATATTATATAAATAAATAAAAATGAAAGTGAGAGTAAATTATGCTGCAAAGCACAATTAATAATTCACACAGCACAGGTGTCTGCCTCTGGTAAGGTCACGGAGAGGGAAAGCACAAAGCTAATCTAACTATATGTTGCAAGCTGTGGCTATTTTTACAAGGCAAATTGAAGTACCTTTCACCCAAGAGCTGCCATGTCAACAAAACACAGCCTTTGACTGGACTCTGGTGTCCACAGATGTGTCCATTAAAGCCACACGGCCCTGATGTCCTCAGCATCTGCTCTCAATGCTCTCTCGTGATTGGCAGAATTACGTAACATTTTTTCTCCCGACGCCGAGAAGCTCCAACTTTCATTTCACGCCACCGCCCTAATTTTTCTCTACAAAAACAATTCACGCAGCATATTTCTTCTAAAAAACGTCGGAACACCGAAACCAGCAATAATAATTATTTCAATAGAATTGCTGCAAGGTACAGGTAGCGGCGAGTGCTGCGTCCATGATGCTTCGTTTTGGATACAGCACTAATTACTAAACTTCCCCAAATGCATAACGTACATGTTTTAAATGCATCATTTTTCTCACGAGCTACATGGTCAACACTTCGGATGCATGCATAGTAAATAAATGCGCATTGCTCACCCTCTTCTGATGCTTTTACTCTGGAATACTGTTTAACGCAGGCTTTTCTGAGCCGCTGTGTTCACGCTTGACTTCACTAACCACTCTTTCAGTCGTAACTCTAACGTTACCCATGCGGCTGCGCTCGTAACTCATACCCAACTTCGCGTCACTAAACCCGTGGTGACCCGCCCACCGCACTGCACCGGCTCTTTGATTGGTTCACGCAGAGCCTCTCCCAGCGTGTTACCAGCATTTTCCACTAGCGTCTCACTTCCCGCATTTTATTTCATCCCATAATGCACCAGGGCCCGCCTGGACTCAGAATCCCACATCTTTGGACCAAAGGTATGGATTCCTGTGAGGCATTACTAGAATTGTTTACCACACTATATGACAGGTCAAGTTTATATGTAACTTATTATTTACTAAAAATTATGATAACTACCTTAAATATTGTGTAGACTAGTGGTTTAGTCAGACACACCCTTAACTGCTGTGAACTGCTCTAAATTTTGGGTGGATGTTTTCAATTAACTCAGTGAAAAATGATATTACCTTTTTTTATAAGAATATATTGAATTCCGTGTTTACGGACTAAACATGGTAATTTTGGTGGGTCAATATCACATTTTCACATGACATGTAAATGGAAGAAATGTAAATCCTCCTTTACTATATTTCTTAGTTTTTGTGAGAATATTTCAAAGTATGGTTTCAAATACGTGCGATGGGAAACGTATGCTCCTCATCAAAATAGTTACTATTTCAGTGCTGTCCTGTTTTATATTTATTTTGGTCATGAGTCCATAAATTTCAAATCTTGCTTTTATTTTTTGTATGATTTATGATATTATGTTCCCTGTCTTGCACTGTACATGTGCAATACAACAAATTCTAATAACAGCAAAGACAATAATAATGTTAATAAAGATTTCTACTTTAAATAATTTCAAATAATTTACATTTCTGTTTTTCATTTCATATTTATATTTCAATCTTTCTGTTCTTTGAAAAATGAAAACACCTCCACAATTACTGAGTGGCATAACCATTTTCAGCTATAAACAGCTATAATACGAAATGTTTCTTGAGCTGCAATCAGCATGATTTCTGAAGGATCATGTAGACACATGAAAGCTGGAGTCATGCAGCGCATGACAAGAAAAATACAATTTAAATATATTCAAATAGAAAGCAGTTCTTTCAAATGGTAGATTTACTGTTTTTACTGTATTTTTGATCAAATAAATGCAGCCAGATTTCTTTCAAACCCTTTGACCCTTACTGACCTCTTTTTGAATGGTGTATCATTAGTTTCCTAAAGAGGAAAAAAGTGAATATAAATTATATTTTTGAGTGTTAAATAAACTCTTTAGAAATTTGGCATTCAAAACAACTGCAGCCAGTCAGCAAATGAAGCAAAGAAAACAATATTTTAATTGAACATTCAATCTTTATTTAAAGAAGGGTGAAAAGACAGAAAAATCAATACACTACAATCTAGAAATATAAAGTAGCCAATTATGTGGAGAAAGAAACACCACTGCCAACACAACAAATGCCAACAAATGTTATTTGAAAGGTAATTTTTGAAACCCTAAATAAACTACAACATCCCCCTGAAAATTTGCCCATTATCCCACCCTCCCACGAATTCGCCCCTATTTACCACGCTCCTCATGCTGATTCCATCCAAAGCACCTGATCCAGCCTTCTGGTTCCTTGCTCTGCTTCTTTTTATACCAAAAAACAAATCTCACAAAAACAAGAGGCACCTGGATCCCTTCTGCGCGCATCAATGGTGCTCCACGGAAAAAGAAAAAATTAATTTGGTTTTAGAGAAGCCAATTATGACGTCAAGTATCCTTTAATTGTGGTTTGGTGGGGGGGATGCGGGGCTGGGGTTGGGATCCTCTCCTATGGTTCCCGTTCCCGGTAAATTGATCCCGCTCCATGTATGTATCCATCCTTATCCTAATCCTAATCCTGATCCTGAACTGATCCGGCTCCAAGGATCGGGACACAGTGAGCCCCTCCTCCAATCCAAACCTTTGAATACCAGCAAAATCAAAGAGAGGGAGGTAACAAGTTAGAATCACAGCTAAATGAAGAGCTTCTATCATTGAAAACTTCTATAAACTGATCATAGGAGCGGTATTTTTTCTTTCTTTTTTTCTGTGTAAATGACAAAAAGGATACCAGACTGATATGCTCTCGAAGAAATTTAGAGCACCACCTAAACACATTAAATTGTGCTTATTCATTGGAAAACAAGCAAATCTAACCTAGAAAAAAAAAATACACTTCCTCTCGACAAATACACAATTTACATGAGAACAACTGCACATGGCAAGCCTTTATCCTATCTAATGCAAAATCTACATGAGTGGCCAAATCCCAGCACATTTTGGACAACAGGCAAAAATGTTTTTTGTATTTAAAAATGAACGCCCCCCCCCAAAAAAAAACAATGCTGTCTTAATGTATGCACAAGCATCGCAACATCCAGACAGTACACATGCATGCTTAGCAGCAATGACCAGTGAGAAAAGGTAAATTAAACAGGGAAGGGGAGTGTTGTGAAGGGAGGAAGAATGGCAAAGCAAAACTAATGTGTTACTGAACTAAGAAAATCCAGAGTACTGGAAGTCTGTAGAAAAACAACAACTGCCTTTTTGAAGGTGACTAAAGCCGCTTGCCGTCATACCGTTGCCTCCTTAAATGAAATGCCTGCTCCTCCAAATATCCTAATATGAATGAACTGTGCTTCAAAATCCTTTATTCCAAAGCTTTCTTTAATCCTGCTCTTCTGTTGTCTATAGAAAGACATGAAAAGGTAAAAGTAGAACAGTTTTTCAACGGAAAAATAATCCCACCCCAGAAAAAGCCCGTAGTGAAGCATCATTAACAAAATAAAACAGTAGCAAATTAATTAGTCACACATACAACTATTTAAAGCATTTCAACATGTCCCTTGTGTCAAATATAGTACAAGGGATGAGTATGAAGATCCAGTTAAAATGGGAATGCAAGACAAAGACACAACAGGGTCATGGGATAGGAGACAACAAACAAACAAAAAAAGGATTGACGGGAAAGAAAGAAGAGAAAGGAGAACATCTACTTAGCTACACGTAGCTGTCATTAGCAGAATGACAGTCCCAAAAAAAGAAAAGAAAAAAAAAAATCAAACAAACCAAAAATGAGAGAAAGAAAACTGGGGAAAGTGGAGAGACGAAACAAGTCAAGAGAACAATGAAGTACAACAGTGGGTCCAATAGAGGGCGACACAGGGTGTATATGATTGTGGCCAGCCAACTAGCTGGGATGTGGATGTTTAGGTGCGGGAACGGGAGCGGCTGTGGCGGGGTGAGTAACGTGGTGATCCTCGGCTGCGGCGTGGAGAGTAGCTGCGACTGCTGCTCCGGCTGCGACTCCTGCTGCGGCTGCGAGAGCGCGAGCGCGAGCGCCCATAACTGGGGCTGCGCGGGCCATCCACTTTTACGCGAATGTAAGCAGTCTCCCCCTGAGGAACATAATGGGACACTTTCTAACGACGAACTACCAGATCTCAGGTTACTCCTAAATAATGACTCACTTGGCGAATCTAAAACAGATTTAGTTTTTTGCTTTTAAGATTTAGCGCTACACCAAATTAAACATCCTTCCAAATGTGGCCCGCTGATAAAATCACTTACATTCAAAAGAGCCATTCCATGGATCCTCCTAGTCCATGTGGCTCCATCATGGGTCTCTGACATCAAGCTTACCTTGATATTCCCAAATCCTTAAGCTATGCCCTGTCCTGTCCAATGGCGGTCTACGTTTACAAACTCACACCTACCTCATGTGACCGGAACTTAGTGTTATCCAGCTTTCGAACGGCGTAGGTCATGTCTTCTTTGCGCACAAACTCCACAACGCCAGTGCCGTCCCGGAAAACGTCAGCATAACATACATCACCTGCTTCACGCATGTGATCCTTAAGGTCCTGCCAGCTGCCACTAGGAGGAAGTCCTGGACAAAAAGAAAATCACAACCATTACATAAGTAGATCCCTCTCTTCATGAACAGCACAAGAATCATTACACCAATAAGGGACCATTTTGAGAAAGGAGTAAGACAGGAAATTCTGGTTTTGCGGGTACTTCCGCAAAAACGTTCTTGTGGTGCAAAAGCCCCTTATGATATCGCACTATTTAAAGTGATAAATGCATGCATACATGCATGCATAAGTTTCTGCAATTAAATTTATATTCATTTTCCATCATATTTACATTAAAATATTTAGAAATAATTTGAAAAAAAAAAAAAAAATTTTTTATATTTTGAACTTAAATTGGTAAAACAAACAGATTTATACTTTAGAAAGCAATTTCCCGATTCTGCAAATAAAAAAAGTGATGAAAAACACAAGTAAACACTGTAATCTGGTTAATCAGTGCGCAAATTGTCTCAAAGACATACTGTAACATACAGTACACAGTGAATATCATATAGCTGCAAAAGGTTCTCAGTGCTGTCAAAATAAAAGTCTGACACTTAGCAGCCAAACAGAAAAAGAAGTAGAAAAAAACACTAAAGAATACTAAAGGCTGGACTACACTACATAAGCTACACAAAATCTCGTTCAAAATCGGCAATGAATCGCCTGCGATTTTGTGTAGCTTGTCAGTGAAAATGACAAGTAAATTTTCTTGTGTGTGTAAATGCCGCTCCATCTGAAAGCACCTGCTGGAGATTTACTACTAATCACCAGAAGCGGCTTTACTGACGAGATTCGCATGAAAATCGCATTCCATTTTTTACCCAGCCCTAATCGAGAGTACCTATAGAGTAGGGGTCGACCGATTATCGGCACTGATATTAAGCATTTTTATGATTATCGGTATCGGTCATTTTCAAAAGCGATTCGCCGATAAAATAACTTAATTTTAAATTTTAAGCATCCTTGCTACATAAAAGTATTAATTTCTTTCCCAAAAAAATAATAAAAATTATACTGAATAAGTCAGTGGTTAGATTAGCGTAGCAGTCAAAAAACGGGACAAGGGAAGTCACGTACGGGACAAATCAATTAGGCCCAAAATATGGGATGGTTGGCAACCCTAAGTATGATATACATAATACTACTACAACAATTATTACAACTTTTGTTTAAAAGAATAATCACAATACGC